TCCAACTGCAGGTGGAAAACAGTACAGGGATTTACCAAAACAGTCCTCATAGAAGTGGGCCTGCGCAGTTTAAACCTGTGTTGTTCAAGGGTCAACTGTACCATCTATGAAAGCCCATGAGCCCAAAAGTGCTTTTTAAAGAAATTTAAATTCCAGTACAAGTTTTGTGGTGTATTTGGGAGGTTCTGGAGGGCTGAAAACCTTCCTGACACGTCCTGGCAATCTCAGTCCTTAGTAGAGTATCTGTGTCTAGTAGGGATGCAATCATGAGTTGCGGACAGGGGGTCACACAACCCTTGAGCCTGAGAATAAGGGAAGTCCAAGGAAGGCTTGGACAACTGAGACACTTGTGACATGGCATGGCTGCCTACTCCAGGGAGTGGGTGATAATTCTGTCTGCACCTCAACATGAAACAAACTGATGCTCTTGGGGATGGCGAAGATAAAGTGGGAAGGAGACTCTCAGAACTCACACAAGAACAGAGCATTCACAGACTCCCTGATTTTGGTTTAAATTTGGGCTGTGTTCCTGTTAACAGAGGCACAGATGTCAACTATGATATTACATTTCAGTGATGAAATTTCACAAAAGATGCCCTGTCTCCCTCCCCACCCCCCCGCCCCGATTCTGTGGCCAACTTACATCATGGCCTCTGTTTTAAAAGCCCCAGTCTCCTCTGGATTTTGTGTAAAGTTGAAAACATTTCTCAGGCAAATACACGTTCTTGGAAAGGGGAGGTCTCAGCTTGGTTCCAAGCACTTTGAGTGTCAGCCTATGCTTCTGCTTTTGGAGCACGGATGTTCTGTCCTGTGAAGAACAAGTAATGGCGATGAAAGTCTCTCAAGCGCAAACACCATCCCACTGTAAAGCGATCACCACTTACCAGGAAGCAGTGTTATAAGTGCTGTCGGTTCTTGCCCGAAGGGCGGCTTTTGTTGGAACAAGGTTATCTTCAGGGAACTGAATCCAAATTTAGGTTCCTGAAGCCTTTGGGAAACCTCCAGTTTGTGGAACACACAGATCCTGGGCCAAATACCCAGTTTATGCGGAAGATGAAAGCTGAAGTTATTTACCTGACCTGAAGCTTACCTGGACATGAAGGACATCCTGAATGCCACTTCTACAGCCCACAGAAATGTGGCCCATCTCCAGATAAGTGTGGAGACCGAAGTCCTTCTCCTCTGGGGGAGCCCTGCTGTGTGCCTCAGATGAAAAGGAACAGCAGACAGAGTGAGTGGCCACCTGCCACATCTCACCCCTGAAAAATGCTGCTAGCCGCCCCCCCCCCTTTTTTTTAAGGATAGGACAGGGTAAGTTTATTGCATGACTGTATTCCAGAGATATGCTTCCCCAGGCTTGCAAAATTAAAGGGGAGGGCTCCCACCACCCTGGATGTCCGACATCCCCAAACTGACATTCAATAGAGAGATTACGCCGAGTCAGCCTTGGGGCTAAACACAGGCAATCAATAGACTAAGGCTTTATGGCTTTGACTAGAAAAACAAAAAAGAAGTCACAGAAACTGTGTGACTGCTAATGGACATGGGAAGCTCTTCTCTTAGGCAAGATTGAAAAATTACATGAAATACACGTTAGGGCAGTCAGCAAAGTGTATGATTATGTTCAGGAGGACTGGACAGTGATCGCTGAGGTTGCAAGGTCTTTATAGAATTATCTAAATCAATCCTCAACAGCCCTGGGCAGGTGCTTCCCCCATATCACAGGTGAGGAAGCTCAGGTTCAAAGAGTTTAAATACCTTGCGGAAAGCTTGGGGATAGTGAGAAGATTCCATGATCTCTCCCTCAGCAAGGACATCTTAATTTCAGTTTCAGGAATAAGAATACACTGTGGATAAGCAAGGGACACAGATGTTTCGAAGTCAGGCATGCTCTTTGCCTCATGCGGGTATTTCCCAAAGGTCTGTGGCAAGTTTACAGGATTAAAAAAAGTTATGCAGCTATCTAACTCAGGAACTGCTTGGGATAAATGGGCTTGTTTTCTGCAGGATTTTTCAGAGTAATCTTTAATATCATATAGATCACTGAAGGCCAAGAGAAGAATATGTACATTTTCTTTCTGAGATCGCTTCTGTTTCTTAGAATATACTTTGGAAAAAGCTGGGGTAAACCTTCAAGTCCCTGAAATCAAATTCAGGAAGAAGAAAAATGAGTCTCCTAATCTTGGGACACATCGATGGTCTTCCTCCAAATTTCCCTCCGGAAGTTTCATACATTTAAATCCCAAAGTGAATGAACTTGGTAAATGAACTTCGGCATTTGAGAGGCCTGCATGATTTGGCTCATCATCAAACAAAAGCAGGACTGGAAATCAGTGAAGGATGCAACTCAGTGACAGATGGGCATGGGCACATGTGACGGCGTGTGGGACTCAAGAGCAAAAAAGGCCTTCAATAAGCTCTTCTCGTAAACCTCAGTCAGTTCCTGAATTTCCCAGGGCTTATCATGTAATCTGGGATCACTGGGCACCCCCGGCTACTGTCTGCTTTTCCCTCCACTTCAGAAGGCACGAGCAGCCTCCTGGGAAGAGCAGGGAAGGGACCCGATGCTTTAGCATCATGTGTTAGGAGTCGGGTGGGGCCTCAGAGACCGTTCGCCCCAGCACAGTTTGCTGAGCACACGGAGGAGCTTACAGGTCAGGCCGCAGCTCAGATTGACTAAGTGTTCTTGGTTTTCAGTCTGGAGGGCTTCTCCCCACACCTGGACTCACTGCAGCTAGAGCCTCCCTTTATTTTAGTAAACAAAATGTACTAGGGGTTCTCAATGCATAAACACAGTATCGGGAAGACTAGTTTATTTCTATAATTGTCTGGCATGACGGACTAGAACGTAAATGAAACAGGGTCTTTGTTCATTAAGGATCCCACAGAGCCTAGAGAACAGCTTGGCACATAGTATGTGCTCCATACATCTCTGCTGAATTCATGAACAATCGGACTCCCTAGTAGGTTACATACTGTCACCCAAAGTATTTATTGGCCTTTTGAAAAGCTTGTTTGTGAAGTTCTCTGGGGGTGTTGCGGGGGGCAGGGACTGTCAGGCAGCTGGGCCTCAGCTCTCCAGATAAAGCAGTGAAACAAAACTCAGCAAGAAGAAAAACGGGTTTGGCTCATTTATAATAGTTTCTCTGCTTCCTCGCAGGTGAACAGATATGGGAATTGGTACATGGGTTTTGATAGGAAATGAAAGATTTCCAACAGTTTTTAAATGGATGGATTTCAGGGCAAAAGCCATCTTCTTTTCATAAAAGAGGTAGTTAATAGCTTACATTGTATCATCAAGCTGCCCAAACCCCCTTTAAAAAATCATCCTCTATTATCACTTAAAAAAGCCAGCTTAACTAGTTTTTGAATAGGTCACACTCACCAATAAAAACTGATTCTGTATCATTCTCAATCTCAAACAAAACATTTGAATAGTTATTTCTGAGCACATGCCACCCGATATCTTATGTGACATTAAAAAAATTCACTCAAATACCAACAGATTCAACTTTATAGCACCATTCCAAAATACTAAACTTTCTTCGCACCTTTATTTTAATCTTTTTTTTGTACACATTTAAAGTATGGGCATCCTGTAAATTTCTGAAAAGCCTCATAGGAAAAAAAAACCAACTAATTTTTAGGACAAAGCAATAACTCAGTTTGTAGGCAAGATGATCTCAGGCGGGCTGTAAGTTCTTCATGGGCTTCTGTAGTCTTGATTCTGGGGTGAGAATGTAGAAAGGATGCTAACGTCTTCCTGGATTATTCTACAGATTACGTTGCATGTCAGTATGTAAAAACGTGTCGCTCAATGGTCAGACTCTAGGTATTGATTACAACTCAACCATGACAAGAACAGTCTTTTGTAATGGTTTTACTCTTTTGATTGACAAATGAACTGGGATATTAGATAACTTCAAAGTCTGTATACACCTTTTATTCATACTCGGTAAGAGAGAAATTCGAATAATATTGAATTCCCTCTTACAAATCTCCGTATTTGAAGCTTGGAGCACTAAAATCTGTTCTTAGCAAGCAGGTAAGAGTTCAAGTAGAAATATAATGGGTTTTTAATTCAACATATATTTGGCTGCATTGTTATGTAAGAAGACTAAGTAATGTGGGAGTTGACATGATGAGGCTGCTTGCAGAAAACAATGGTTTCCTCATGACACTAGTGAGTCACGTGTCACACTCGGCTCATAGTGCGTGCTCTCGTCTAACTCTTCCGTGTGCACCTGGGTCAGTAACAGGCAGGCGAAAGGACTTGGAGTTTCTGAGTATGCTGTGATCGGTTGGGCGGTGTAAAGAGGTAGAGTCAGGAGGGTGTCCACTAACAGTTTCATTCTGCAGCAGTTTCAAAGGAAGTGATTGTGACACAATAACAGTCAATGACCCAGGAAGAAAAGGTTTAAATTAGAAATGACTAGTATTAAAAAGCTACTGTGTACCAGGTAGGAAGGAATATGAGGATATTAATATGCCCTGAAATAGAAATAATCACTTTGCACTATGTACACCACATACAATATAACATATTCTTTGTAACATTGCACAATATAAATATTATACACGGCGGAGTCAACTAAATGCAAAATAACTTTGAGGCACACAGAAGAAACATGGAATAGATTGAACTCTGATCAAAATGAAGATGGGTTAGTAAAAGGCAGAGTCTTAGAACTGTCAGGCCAGTGAGCTCTGAGGTCTTACCTCACGGGCTAGCAGCCACCTCCCATATACACTGAAAATTCTCACACCTCGTTAGAGTTGATTGCTTCAATCAACTAATTAGCTAAATAATCTGAGAAAATCAAACTGTTGCTCCCCACTCTAAAGTAGGTGACCCTAAAAGTCCCTCCCGACCTCAGGATTTTGTAACGAGGGACTACGTTAGTGGTCGGCTGTATTTCCCCTACATCTTGTAAATAATTGTTACTAGGAAACCACTTTAAGGAAACTAGAACAGTATTCAAGAACACCCATCACAGTGCTTAACAAGATTTAATGTACATTTATTCTTAACATGTGGAACATATAAAGATTTTATACTGAATAAATGATATTCATTAAGCCAGAGGAAAAGGAGGAATTTACATCAAGTTTTTTCTTTTTTTTTAAACTACATTATCTTGAAATACAAATGTGGATTCTCGTCACTGAAAAATCTTTGAAGTTGTGTTTCTTCCTTTTAGTTGTATTTTTTCTGGTTTTTTTTTTTTTGACTGTACTGGTAACCATTTTCTAAATCAATCCATATGCAGCCATTTCCACACCTGATTCATGAAGCAAATTGTGATCAGCTGCTCTCCCGAAACAGAGCATGACTTTATACATACAGAAACTTGTACATTACCCTCTTTTTTTTGTTTGTTTTTGTTTTTTGTATTTTTTCTTTTTTTTTTCTTTTTTGGAGATATGGCCCTAATGAAAAAATATATAAAATAAAAATAAAAAATTATTTAAAATCTACCATCACTTCGTAGTTACCACATCATGAAAAAGAAACTAAAAACTTTGTACTAAAAAAAAAAAAAAAGAAAAAAGAACAGAAAAAAAATGAGGGTATGTTCAATGTACAACTTCTATATACATCACAGCCCATAGGCAGTAAAAAAAATATTTAAAAAATGATTAAAGGAATTGTGAAGAACTGTCATGTGGAAGGTCAAAAGACAGACAGCAGACATGACGGTAGTGGTGAGGAAGCAATTTCCGTTGATCGTTGTCAGGTATGTATTTTCAATCTTAACTTAAAAAACAAAACAAAACATCGTTTTTGCTCCTAGCCTAATGTAACCATTTTCCTGTGGAGAAACCAGTATCATTTCAGTTTGACTACTGACTGACACACCTCCTTGAGCCCCTATACCTACATTTCTAGATGTTTCTATTGCACAGAGCTTTGGGCGATGGGACACAGTTTTTATTTCATTATCTGAAGAATAACATGCCTAGGAAATTGATAACTTTTCAACTTTTTGCCTCAGTGTGGTGAACTTTTCCCAACTTAGCATGTTTTGCCACATCTTTTTTCTTTAAAGTCAATTCGCTTCCCAAAAAAATGCAATACAACATGGAAAAGAACATTAAAAAGAAAATCTGTGAAAAACAAAAAGTGACCTTTGAATGCACTAGACAGCAACTTTGGTTAAACAAAACAAAACAAAACAAAACAACCCAAACAGATGTACTTATACACACAGACAGCAAATATTAATTTTATAACTGTTCAAATTAATTATTTCTTTAATTCCCAATTGGTAAATAGTGAATGGGGCAGAGGAGCAAAGATTTTCTTTTCCTTCTTCCTACGCTGGATAAACAAGAACAGAAAACAGCCAGTTACACGGGAGCCTCTAGTCTTCACTCACACATGCTGCCTTCTCACTGATGTCATAACTGCCCGATCTGAAACAGTACATCACAGATGACAGACGCGACCAGAGAGTTCAGGACGGCCGATATCGAGATGTCCAGCAACCGACCCTCGTGCAAGAGGAACTCCGAGCGGTTCTCGTCCACCCTGGCCATGGCCAGCAGGGCCTTGGCCGCCCTGCACATCATGTCCACGCTGGGCGGCTCCAGAGGCAGGGGCTGCATGTGCATGAGGCTGTGCTGGCTCTGCTGGTACTGGGCCATCGTGACCCCGTCCTCCAGGAAGCTTATCAAGTTTCCAATGCTTCCTTTTTGCACAGCTATGGCCCTTGCTGCCAGCGTGTCCCCTTGGGCAAGGTTCGATAAAAGCGCCATGGACATTTCTCGACAGACTGGGTTTTTGCGATCCCCAACGTACCTAACTAACGTGGCATAGAATTTCTCCTGACGGCTAAACGGAGGTGTGGCCAAGATCAGGTCCACATTATTGTCCTGGATGCTGAGCTTACAGAGGGTCTCCAGCACAAGTCTCTGAGGCGACAGGACAGAGTTGGGCCCCACAGTGGGGAAGGGGTCTTGTGCCTCTGCAGACGGGCACACCATCCAGTGCAGCAAGCCATCCAGGATGGGCAGGCAGATGCTTTCCGTGTAAGCAGACAAGTCTAGCTGCCCGGAGATGTTGGCTAACGTGACCAACGTGTTGTCCCTTAAGACCTCCAGGCAGTCCCACCACCACTCGTCTTTGCTGCAGGCCACCCCTTTGTCCTCGTCTTCCTCTTTCTCGTAGGTTTGCGGTGCTCGTTTTCTCTCTGGATGCTCATGGTGAAGAAGAATCAGCTTCCCCAGGATCAGCACCAAGCCTGGATGTTTGGACATCTCGGCGTCATTGCCAGGCACAAACGACAAGCTACGCACAATATTTGACACACAGATGCAGCGCTTCGCCAGGGAGTCCTGCCAGTGCGCGATGGTGCAGAGAGGGGTCTCGTCCCGGCTCCGCGGCTCGTCCTCCAGGAGCCTGATGTTCCGGTGGCTCTTGGCCTGGTGTATGCCGAAGGGAAACTTGCTGCTTTCGGCTTGGGCGCCCGGGTTCCCGTCTTCGGGCAGCGCCCCCGGTCGGGCAGATAGGACGTCATCAATGGTCGCAATGATGCTCTTCTCTTGCTGTTCTTCGAAATCCCCTTTGCCTTCTTGCTCTTTCTTTCGGCTGGTGGAGCCTATAGGGGGAGGAGGACGCCGGCGCGGAGGAATTTCCATCTTGCTCTCAAAGTGAGTCTGGATGTGCTCGGTGGTGTCGCCGCCGCCCAGCTGCCAGTGCAGAAGGCCGCTGCTGAACTCCTGAACGCGCCCCAGCTTGTCAGATCGGTCCACCACGAACAGGTTGTTCTTTTTGACTATCTTTATTGGCAGCTTGTCGAACTTGCTGGCTTGCCTGGGCTTCTCCTTTGGGTCTGCAGCGGCGTCAGCAGGGCTCAAGGCCATGCTGCTCTTCTCCTCGGGCTCTGCCTTTCCACTGTCTTCCTCCTCCTCCTCGTCCTCGTCGACCTCCTCCTCCTCAATACATTCGGCATCTTCGTCCTCTTTTCCAGAATCGTTGGCCAAGGGCTGGCTGTCACCTCTCGTCACCGCGTTGTGGTCAAGTGCTTTTTGGCTGGGGTCTCCCACTTCATATTCCATAAGAATCCCAAAAATGTCAATCAGGCATTTTCTAAAGTACTCTACTAAAAGTTCGAGAAATCCAGACAACTAGAGAGGAGGAGAAGGAGAAGAAAAACAGGTACAATGTCACAACGTCACATATGACTGAGGAGCGTAAAAATCCTGAGTGCCAGCAATACGTTTTTATGCTGACTTTCACACGTTTTCATTCGTTTCTGGCTAGGCCAAGAAAGAGACACTACGTATCAGAACTATCTTCCTGAATTTTTCATCATTAACTAAACCAACGTTTACTCTGTTTCTTATTTGCTGCTTACTTTCCTGCTCTATCAATATGAAAACTTACCTGATATTTTCACATTTCTAAGATTATCACTGAGGGATGCTCTGCTGCCCTTCACCTTTTTTCCTGATTTAGATACAATGCATTCATTATTAGGAGGGCGGGAACGTGGCTTTATAGACTCCTTCACCCAAAGTGAGTCTGTTCTCTCTCTTACCTGAGACTTTGCCTACCTGGATTGTTACGGTTATTATTATTAAAACTTTATGATTACTTTTGTCTCAGTTGCCATAGGTCCCTCTAATTTACATTCTCCATATGTCTTTGGGAGAAGATAATTTCAGCCATGTAGTAGCTCATAAACAGAGAGAATTAAAAACAGATCAATTTCGCCCCTGATAAATGGATTAGAACGTTTCACAGAACGCGGTTTTACATTTCAGTTCTTCACAAGTCTAGCTGAAAGACAAAAGCCAGGATGAGAACCAGCTTTGTTTCCTTTAAGCACATTTTGTATCAAGAAAACCAACATGCTCTTTGACTTGCAACTGCTCAGCTCCCCTCCTCAATGCTCACACTGGCCCGTCTAGGGAAGACAGAGGATCCGGACGTGAAAAAGGACTCTTTAATGATAATGTCACAGGCATGGCTCATACTTTCATGCCCTGCTGTCAGGTTCCTGAGCTGGAAGTAATTCCTAAGTGAGGGGAGTCCGAGGGGCAACCAGAAGCCCTTGCCTGTGGCTCGCAGGGACGGTTTTTCAAGCGCAGACTTGCAAACTTCACTTTTGCCCGAGGGCAAGGGAAGAAGGGAAGCTGCTGCAGCAATTCTGGTGATGACGACGTGTGATCGACAGCATTCGCCTCACACGAGGATAATTATTCTAGCAAAGGTGGTGTACATTTTTCTAATACTTACTTTCTGTTAAAATGGACTTCATGCCACGTTTATGACCTTATTAACACACCTACTATCAACTGAAAAACTGCCTGCTGGGCTCTAGTGAAGACTTGAATGAGAGAAGACGATGGGGAGGAGTCTGGTCCTATTTCCAGAGAAGCAGGAATGAGATGTTTGGGCTTTTTTTCCACCCAAAGCAGAGAGCTGTTTATACACAGCAGGGAAAACCACCTTTCCTCAGTTTTGTTTCTAAATATTTCTCCGAAAGTCTGTATGCAGCCCAGTTGCCTCTTGGGCACTTTCCCTAATCCTCAGCTGCCGCCTCTCTTCTAGCTGCTATGCTGGACGCTACTCTACACCTAGCACTGAACAAAGGAAGGATTTAAGCTCTTTAAAAGCAGTGGGCTTTTAAACGAGGGCTTCAAAATAACCTGAGAGAGGCAGAGATGGGAGGGAATATACCACGAAATGAGCTTGGTCGTGAGTTCATGACAATTTCAGCTGAATGACAGGTACATGGAGGTCATTAAATGGTGTTCTCCACTCATATATACAGCTGACCCTTGAACAACACGCGTTTGAACTGCGCAGGTCCACTTATACATGGGTTTTTCTCAGAAAATACTGTACTGTTTTTGACCTGCAGCTGGGAGTCCGTGGATGCGGAGGGCCAACTGTACGCATTGATCTACGCCATTTTATACAGCGGACTTGGGCATCCACAGATTTGGGTATCCGCCAGGGGTCCTGGAACCAAGCCTCCACAGACACTGAAGAACAGCCTAAGTTTTGGGGGAGTCAAAAGTTATAGGCAGATTTTCAACTGCTTGGGGGCTCGGTGACCCTAACCTCCACGTTGTTCAAAGGTCAGCTGTGTGTGTGTGTGTGTGTGTGTGTGTGTGTGTGTGTGTGTGTGTGTGTGTGTGTACTTTTTTTAATTGGGGAATTGGGGGAGGGGAACAGCGTTGGGGAATTGGGGGTGGGGGTGGGAACAGACAAGTTGCTGTCCTTTTGTTCTTCAGTCTAGTTGTGGAGGACGTCGCTTCACTGGCCCATGTTGGTATTATCATTGTGCTCTTCCTGGGTGAGGCAGATTGGTTGCCAGCCATTGGATGGCCACTTACAGCAGCTCACGCCGGCTGCTGGCTGCTCATGCTGACTGCCAGCCACTCAAGGTAGCTCGCGGCAGCCCACTGCAGCAGGGGCTGCAGCCTACACCATCACCGGCGACTCACTGCATCCTAGCTCTAGGTCGAGCTGTTGTTCACCATCTTAGCTATAGAAGGTGCAGCGTCACTGGCCCTCATGTGGGATCCGAACTAGGGCCCTGCTGCTCAGAGCTGGCGTCCCAAGCCAACTATTAACCAACGTGCCACTCGGCCGGCCCTATATTTTTTATAATTTTTTTTAACCTTTACATTTCTCTTCAATTAGAAGAAAAATGTGAGGTCCCCTTGGCAAGGAGAGTAATGTTCCAATGCAGCCCACTGCATTTCCAACACTGACTAGGGCCATAACTTTACGTGACATTTGAATTAATTCCCATTGGCCTGCTAATATCCATGCTAAGCAGCAATTTAATTTTACTACTATTCATCTATTCCACACATGCGTGCATGTGCATGACTGTTTTCTTATGAGAAATACAGGTATGTGTATATTTATACTAAAGACTGAAATGAATTATTATTCATGACTACATTCTCGGACAACCATCCATCGATTGATGTTGGTTTGTAACAACTACAATGATAAAAAATGTCAGAGGGTGAGTGCTGGGCATCAGTTCAAGTATTATGCACTACTTAATTTTCTTATTCTCATTTGGTCCTCAGGTGAATGGGTGTTGGCTTACCTGGGAGAGATTGAATGTAGCGACAGTGCTGTCATCATATAGGAGAATATTAATAGTGTCCAAAGCCCAAGTACTTTCAGCCAAAAGACCTGACTTCAGGGACATCATCACACGCCATGCCTCTGGAGTAACTGAAAATGGGAGAAAGAACAAGGATATAATATTAACTCTATGCATGAAGAAATATAAAAGAAAGAAAAAAGGAGTGTTGAATTAAATACTGATTTTAAATAAATGTTCTGAGGGATAGTTAAACACCATCATTTTCAGATTTTAAGTGAGGTGATAGCTGTATTAAGAAACTTTGGTTGTTTAAGATCTTTTTGCATTATTGGTGGAACAGGAGCCAAAGTGCTTCCAGAGGTGGGAGTGGTTAAGCACAAAGGGTCCTTTTTTATCTCCAGTTTCTTTCTTTTACCCCCTATTAGAGCCTGTACTGAGTCAAATGAAAAAATAGTATTTGTCTTCTTCTGCCTGCTGCATTTACAAATGTCTCAACGTGGCAGCTTTGGAAGGCTGGCAAGTATGCAGAACATAAGCAAAAATTAATTCCCACACAGCACTTCTTAGATAAAAGTCTTGCTTTTCCCCCTACCGTCCTCTTCTGATTCTGAGCTCCGGCCCTCAGAACATGCTGTTGATAAGTATTAGCAACTTTGATGGTTCAGATTTTTCAAGAGCTTGGCCTGAGCCAGGGGATGGGAAATAGAAGGGCTGTACTTCCGTATTCCCCATTCCTGTTACTGAAGAAGACAGAGTGATCAGATAAAACATTTGCAAGATTTGCCATAGGGTCTTAGGAGAAGAGGTCCGTGATGTGTCTGAAATTTTGGCGGAAGCCGTCTCAGGAAACTGGTGGAGCACAGGCTGTGAGCAGACCTGTCAATCAGACCTCTCACCACAGCACCGGCCAACACCAGATGCCAACAGTATCTCGCATTGGGAGGGGACCTTGGGCTTCCACCTTTATTTTAATTTCATCTATTTTTCAAATTTCCTAAGATAGGCACATAATGCTTTTGTAACAGAAAAAGCAAACTTCCTTTTTAAAATAAGGAACATAAATTTTCCTAGGCTAAAGACAAATATTGGTATAATGTACTAAGAAATTCTATAAAATTTAAATATTTTTTTAAACATATATGTACACACAAACACACGTGTATATTTTTACATATATTTCCACATATAAAATGGTGCTCAGTGTATGTCTCTTTCTTACCTCCAGCACCCCTCTCTAGATAAAACTCCTTACTGTTCTCCCTCCCTCTCGCTATATCTCTCCTTAAGGTCCAATGATATAAAACATCTTTTAATATCTTTAATTTTCTAATCACTGCAACTTATTTCACATCAAATGATCTTGAGGTTTTTGAAAAGAATTTTTTTATATAATAAAGATCTATAATTCCCTTACTGTATTAAAAGCACTTCAAAAATAATGCAGAAAAACTGTGTGGACTCCCAGACAGTCCATATATCTAATCAGCATTCAGAACACTCCAAATAGGATGAACAAGCAACATCAGTATTCAGCTGAGATAGCTCCTTGGCCCATATCTACCAGTACTGTACGTGCTACATCAATTCTATAGATATCACATCAAATTCCACAAATCATATCACATATCCATCTACCAATCATATTCAGGCTTCTCCCTTTTCCCAGGGAAACGCACTGTCTGTCTATATGTTGCTACCAGAGCTACAGAGTGGCCTGCCTTCTGATTTTCTCAGGCCACCTCAGCATTTCCTGAGTCCCGCAGCTATGGTTACTCGTGCTCTGCAGAAAGCAAGTGCTCGGTTAAGGTCAGACCTTTAAGCCCCAAATGTAGTCCGCAGTCGCTGATCCCCTGGTTTCTCACCTGGAGCTCTGCTCTCTCACACTAATAACACTCACGTCTAAAAATACCACTTCAATTCACACTCTTTTCTGGCACTGTTTCTTAATTCAGGTTAGTGGCTTCCAACTATTGCTCCTTACAGAAACACGTCCTGATAGTGTGCAGTCATAAGAATTTCCTACCTTTGAGATGAACAGGAACTACATCTAATCGAAAATTAAAATTCTAGCTCACAACTGGGATTCATTTCGGGAGCAAAGCCTCGGGAACGCTTACCGATATCTTTTGAGGTAATCTTTCGCCTTTGTTTCAAGACTGGCTGGGATGCTTCCACTGAGCCAGGCGGGAAGGTGATCTCCCTCCTGATGGGGGGCGGTTGGGAGGGCGGCCCCGTGACCTGGGACGTGGGGACTGTGGGCATGACCTTCTGCATCTTCATCGAGGGTAGGAAGGGCGACTTGCTTGGAGACATGCGGCTCTCCAGAGAGCGCTGGAAGGAGGCGGGGCTGGGCGCTCTGGAGATGTGGTTTGGCAGTGACGGCGGCGTCTGGTAGGATGACTGAGGCGGGCGCGTGATGGGCTGCATGGAGGCTGAGGAGGACATATAAGGCTGACGTTGGCTGATGTGAGAAGGCCACTGGCTCTCGTGGTTTATCCTTTGATCAGGTACCATCATGTCATCCGTGCGATTCATGCCTGGATACGGAGGTGCCTGAGCAGGGCCGCCGGGGCCCTGCCGGTTCTGGTAGGGGTAAGGCATATCGTTGCGAGTCGCCCACATGCTCTGCTGAGGCCCTTCGCCGGAGGACGACTGCATGGGGCCGCCCATCATGGGGGGGATCCCATGCGGCTGTATCTGGCCCGGGCCCTGCATCCTCTCTCTGTTGTAGGGGTACGGGTACTGCCCCTGGATGGGCCTCCTGTCGGGCCCCGAGTAGGAGCTTCCGTACTGGTTATACACCTCCTGCTGCTGACCGCCGTACTGCACATTGTACATGTCCCCCTCGTGGCGTTTGGCTGGAGGCCCATACATGCCGTCCATATGGCGTCTGTAATTCTGAAATTCACGCAAGGACAGATCACACCGACGTGCTTTCACAGGTATAACCACACATGTAAATTATGCAAAATCATCATCACCTGGAGGGTGTTCCTTTCAAAATGAGTATGAGAAGCTCCGCTAACAACCAAGGACTAACCATTGATGCATTCTATGAGAAGCTCCGCTAACAACCAAGGACTAACCATCGATGCATTCTATTTTGGCACGGCACAATCCCATGCCACTGTTCCCCAGAGGGCTTCCCACGGGTACGTTCATGTGCTTGGAAGTTTCTGTGGGAAAAACAAAGCCTCCTGTCCTGGCACTTTCCGGGGCTGCCACTCGGGGGGGTAACGGCTCTGTGACGACCACACAGGCAGTGGTAACGGGCTTGGAGCCGCACTAGGCTGACCTCAGTGGGTAGAAGGAGAAACCTCGGCGGAACGGACTGCGCATTCCGACGGCCAGCCTGACAGCTTCCTGGACTAAACAGATTTCTTAGGCCCAATTTACAGAAAAGCCCCCACAAAGCATCTGGCTCCTCAGACTGGACCCGTGCTGCCCTGACACCCCACATCTATGGCCCTCACCCCAACTCCCAGCTTGTCCAGGTCAGGTTCTTCCATGACAGCCTGCTGCTCCAGGCCTTTTGAGGACAGAACTGGGCACAGCCCCTGCCACTAAGCTCTGCTCTTGGGGATTCCAGGGGCCCAGGCCTGAGCAGGTGGGTGTTGCCTGATGTTAGTAAGGTACTGATGTGTGACCCAGTTCTTCCACTTTCCTTGAAAATTGTTTAAGATCAGTTGGTTTAATAATACAGTTCCCTGTACATACATGCACCAGTAAAATTAAATCAATGTTCAAATCTCCCTCTATTTTACAAGAGGTCTTAGACATGGGAGCTATTTAGAAATAGCATTCCTGTGTATGAAAAGCCACAGTGTGATGTGCAGTTCTCTGCATAAAGTGGTGACTGTGAGGTAACGTGCAAGCTCAGAATCTCGGAGCTGCCATGGCTGCAAGAACCAGCAAAAACCTATCCAAAACAGCCCAAACACGCAATCACTAATATCTGATCTCTGAAAAGCCAAATCAATGTTCACTATTAGTTTATAACATTTTAAGTTGTTTTCTACATATCCTCTTTAAAACATAGTGACAATTTTCTGTTCTAACATGGAGTTGGACATGACAGTACACATAACAGACATACATTTAAAATATACTGAACTTGGGCTTGTTATTATTTACAAGGGTGAATGCCCTTAACGTCTAACATTATATTTGATCCCAGATACCATCTATCGAGCTATTTCTAATTTGCTGACTTCAAAATCCTATGAACATTTTCTAGCGTAAAAATATACATGGTGATGGTTCAATAAATGCTAATCAATTTTGTTATACTTCCTAAAACACTTCAGAAGTAACGCAGTACAAGCTGGAGTTTTACACAGAAAGCACAGAGATGCACGCCCGCTCACCAACTCACCGGCTGCTGTGGATACAGGCCAGGCTGGTGTCCTCCATATGGCGGCTGTCCTGAGGGAGGGCCTTGGCCTGGGTACTGCTGCCCGTAAGGTTCATGCCTAGAACAAGGCATTCAAAGAAAACTTCATTGACAAAGGCCCTCAGGACAAAAGAGAAAGTTCATTTCCTGAAAGTCTACACCCTTCAACAGCGTTTTCTTTCCTTCACCATCCACAACTTCCAGGAGGCACTCTGGGCAGCAGTGATACTGTAACTTTGAGCTGAAGGGATGGGAACGCCCACTTTGGGAACGGTGCCAATCTCCTGGTTTGTACGTGAGAGGGGAGCCCCAGCCGGATGGGCAGGCACCCTCTGCCTCTGGGGAGAGGCCCCACCCATTCACTGAAGCGTGCCCAGCGAGTGTCATACAAGACTGTGATGTGACATGTTAATGAAGGCAAGGAACGACGAAGAGAGTCTAAGAATCAAAGCAGTAATTTTAGGAATACACGGCCAAGGACAGGCAATAGTGGGAAATGTTTCTACTTCTCACTTTCTCTGATGAATATAAATGTTCAGTTTTTTAAAGGTACACTTCCAAATTAACCTAAGTGATACAGAGTTAGCTAACTGTACAGATGTAGTACTCAAAATTCAAGGTTCTAAAAGGCTACAGAAAAGAAGAACAGTGATGATGTAAATGTATTCTTATTAAATCCTAAAATGGGAATGAACAATACATGTGCTTTTTCAACTTCATTGAGGAAATTATAAATACCATAAAAAATAGCATGTTTAAAAAACAATAAATTTGAAATTTTTAAAAATAAACTGGTTTAGTTAGTATATTGTTCTTACAGGAAAGAGAGTACATGGACTGAATATGTTCCTAAACTGGTCAGGAAACAAGACTAAGAAAGAAAATAAATGAATTTTTCGAATACAACATGTAAAACAGACACAGGGGAAGTTTTTGTTAATGACACTGATATCTAGAAGGAAGCTGACAGGAGGAAAAAAATATGTCATGGCTAAAAATTAAGCTGAACGCGTAACACTTTTCAGAAGAGAAAACTTCGCTACAAGGTAAACCACTCTCTCTAATGTGGTAAACCAATATGACTTTTAAACCCAGGCCATGCAACATTCTAGAAAGCATTCTAGAAGAAACAGGAAAGTGTATTTGCTTGGGTTCCATTAAGAATGTATGTCTTAGGAGGACTGCTCTCCTAATCTCATCAGCCAATACAAACAAACACAGAGTAGCTTTTCCTGGACCATCAAAAACAACCAAAATCTAAGTCAAACCCTTGCTCCACTACATGAAACATTCCACAGGTTACCTGGGGTTAATGCAGATATCACAAATAAATATTCACCGCACTGCATCAGGGCAAGAATTAGAAGTCTGGATTTTAAGTCACTATCAGAAAATACCAACCCTGTGGGCATGTGATGGCTACATAATCCTAAGAACCAGGCTCATAGAAAAATGCCAGAAACAAAATTAATTTGGCTAAACAGTGATTTCTTCCAACTTTTCCCCCTTTGTATTAAACCAGGCAAACCTTTGCACTACTTAACCGTTCCCTGTGACCCAGTCCGTGGGCTGATGGTGGGCGCTGGGTTGACCCAGGGGGTCGCTGGGGAACATGTCCCATCAGAGTGTAAAGGACACGACTGGAAGCCTTCCCATCCATGGCTACAGCTAGAAAAAGCCTTCGACTATGCCTCCATTTATGTTTTCTTTACACATCACCACTATCTACCAAAGCTTTCTTCCTGAGTTCTCTCCTCAGACGTAAAGAACAGACTGAGCAGGAAAAGGGGTTTTGTACTAAGTACTGAACTGGGGCAGAGCTGTGGGGCCTTCTCCGAGAGAAGAAACCTACCAAGCCACCATTTTGTTACCTCTCAGAGACATTTCAGTGACTTCCCTTCTTTCTTATTAAAAATAAACCTGGATCGGTACTGCAATGTGACTTGACGTTTTACTGTCCAGATGTCCTGTGAAGAAGCCCCAGTGAGGCCTATGTTCTGGCTGTTCTGGGAGGGTACTCTCTAATGAACAGAATATTCTCGTTAAAATGTTCTCAGGGAGGAGAGGAAATGTCTCAAGAAACGCCTGGAAGAGCTTTCCACGAACTCACGACAACCCGAGTCCAGTATGGCCACCGCCACACAGACCTTCCCTTAAGGAAGGCGTGCAGGCGGCAGGAGCAGAGGCGGTGCTGGACATCCGGGAGTTCTGGGTAGATCCTAAGATGAGCACACGTGGAAGCTGCAGGTGTCAGTCTCAGGGTGGTGACAGAGCCTCTGAGTGCTGGGAGGACCGCTGTTCCGTGGGACCATCCTGGCACTCAAGGTCTTAGGGAGACTGGCCATGGCAGCCCGGCCCCAGCATATTTCTAATTTAAACTTTTGGGCATTTACTTATTAACAAAGCACAGATGCACCTGGCTGCCTGGGGACAAGGTCCTTCTCCCGGTCCTGTCACGGCCGCCAGCGGAAGGCAGCCGCCTGACACTCACAGTCCTTGTTAACTCCAGCAGGAAAGAAGATACCGCATGTCATCTGTTACTAGGGCTCAGAAACGTGTGCTGGGAGGAAAGCAGTGTCTAGCAAATTGCTTCATCTTTATCTTAGAAACTCACCTTCGATCATAACTGGTCCCATAGGGAAACTGCTGCCGCTGCCCCATGCCCAGGCTGGACATGGCTCCGGAGGAACTTTGGTTGTACATGTCCTGCATGGTGCTAGTGGGCATCTGTCCTTGCGTCATGAAGGGCTCACTACTTCCAGGCACTGCAACATTTTAAACAACAGACAATGAAGCATTCTGAAGCATTTTCAAAGGCCAAGAGGCCCAAACATCCCTTGCTAGTCATTTGTTATCTTTAATATTGCAGACACATACATATCTTATCCTTAATGACTGACAATACGAATGAAAGAATGTCAGGTCGAGTCCAGATGGGCCCTGTGGGGCAGAGCGCTAAGACGGATCCCAAAGCCCCTCACCCCATGTACATGCCTCCCATGAACCCCTCCCTTTGAGTGTGGGTAGAAACCCTGAATATGATGGGATATCGCTCCAATTATGGTCCCTCACAGGCAAAGGGATTTCACAGATGTGACTCGTTACTCATCAGCTGACTGTGAGTTAACCAAGTGGGATTATCCAGGTGTGCCCTTTAAATCTGAATCTAAAGGTCAGAGATAGGCCAAGTCAGAGATCCCCAACCGCTGGTCTTGAAGAAGCACCAGCCTTGCAGTGGAGAGGGTCACGTATCAGGAAAGGTGGCAGCCTCTGGTAGCTGCGAAGGTCCCCAGACGACAGTCAACGAGACAATGGGACCTCCTCCCACAACTGAAGGAGGCGAATACCGCCAGCAGCCTGAACAGGCTGCGAAGAGGACCCCAAGCGTCCGAGGAGACAGCGTCCTGCCTGACACCTTGTCTGCTGTGTCAGCCCAGAGCTGAGAACCCACCGGAACTGTGAGATCATAAATTTATGTTGTTTTCAGCTGCTAAGTTTGTGGTCATTTGTACGCAGTAATATTGAAAATGAACCCAGTCCCAGATCCCTGGGTAAGTTAAGTTAGTACACTTCTGAGTTTATTTCCCTGTCTATAAAATGAGGTTGGTTAACACCATCTCCTGGAATGACGGTGAGGAAGAGATGATATACACTTACAAAGTCAGTTCCCTTCCCTTACAGGAGAAAGAAAGTGAAAACCTTAACATAAACACCCATCCACTGACTCACTCCAAAACCAGGATAAAGAAAATCACTAGGGAGTTAGGAACAGCTCGAGAATGGATGAGATTCAACTATTTCTAGTGGGGTCGAGTGGCAATTAGGTCGAATATGAAAGTTAGCATCAGCTCAGAGCCTGAAGGAAACTGGGTCAAGCCCAGAAACTAGCCTGCAGACAAATTAAACATTTTAATGCAAATCTTAATTGACACAGTACTACTCCCTCCTTCATCCTATGAAGGTTACTTTTATGTTACATGAGGCAAAGTGGATTACAATTTTGTGAGCTGATCAGCGTGAGGCTGGGAAAGAGGTGTGAATAACGAAGTCCAGCCCTGGTAGACGGTGCTTTGCTTGGCAATGTGCTTTCACATACTTTATCATCTGATCGCCATCAACCTGTGGTAGAACCAGTTTTGATGTCATCTTTCCATTTTATAGATGTAAAAACAGAGCCAGACAGAAATTAAGGGGGGTAATTAAAGTTAAATTGTTTAAGTCCCCAATACACAAAGAGTTCTTAAAAAATCAATATGAAATTTGATGGATAATCAAATTGAAAAATGGGCAAACACATAAATGGATATTCACAGAAAAAGAAAAAGAAATGGGCAATAAATATATGAAAAGATGTGGGACCTCACTAATAATTAAAGAAATCCAAGTTAAAACCATCACAAGGCCTTTTTTTCCTCCCAGTCTGATTGGCAAATATTAAACGACTGGTAATAACCATTTCTTAGTATGGGGTGAGGACCTTACAATGCACTCTTACAATGCTCATGGTAAGAGCGTTAAATGGACATAACCTTTGCCAGTGCCTGAGAAGGAGGCTATGCTCTGGCGACTCCCTACAGCAGCATATCTGTGGGTATTCAGACTGTGACGTCTCCTCCCACGTAAGACTGGGATTTGACCAGCTGTGACCAATGGGGCACTGGCAAATGTGGGGCATCCCAGGCTTATAGGCGCTTGTCACCTTGGTGCGCCCTTCCAGGGTCATGAGGTGCCAAGAAGCTCCACAAAAAGGCTCCACAGAGGAGGCCTCAGCAAAGCAGCTCCAGCTGGCCTTCCAATAGGGCCTCCAGATGACACCAGCCATTCAAGTGACACCCCTGCTCCAGCAGAGCTCTCAATCAGGCTTCCAGATGGGGGCAGCTGCCTCAGTGTCCCAGCTGACAGCACACGGAGTGAAGAGCCACCCTGCCCACTGCAGAACCCTGCACAGCAGGTGGACAGGCGGGACCGAGGGTCCCAGGGCTCCACAGTCTGACTGGGCCTTTAGTCACTGTCCCATCACACGATGGGTCACAGCAATGGCAGCAGCAGCAGCGACAAGGATAAAGAACAGGGTTTCCACTGATGTTGGTCATTAAAAGAAAACCAGGGTACCAATGACAGAATAAGGTGAACTGAGGAATGGAAACTTGATTATAACAGGGACAGGGCTGTGAGAAAATCCACCTCCTGTGGGATTTCTGTTTATCTGCTTTAATTTGGTACTAAATATACCAGCATTGTAAGGAAGATGAGCTGAGATACGCTGAAGAAATGCGGGATGGAACTCCTGAGCCAGTGTGCCATTCACACGGTTGATGAAAACAAGTTATACAGCTGCCTAGTGCCTAGCAAGGCAATCCACACTCACCCCCCGTCCCCTCAAATTTATCTTCGTAATAAGAAAAACTGTAGGCGTAAGGAGACAAAACACACACAACTCCTGCCGTCTCACATAGCCTGTAGGTAGGATACGGAATGGTTCACAATAACTTTTGAAGCTGGGTTCCAAACACTGCTAATTATTTTTTCATGTTATTATTGTCATCCTTTCAGAGTCTAAACATGTGATACAACCACCAACAGCATTAACAAAATGTTCTTTCTAGCAGTAAGAAAAATAGCTGCCTCCAACATTCACAAAGCTTTTGAATTTCTGCGTTTATGGATTTATTGCATGTTCTGCAAAATCTTTACCTGGAATAAGCAGCTCTGAAGCTTTTGAAAGGAAAAAGTATAGATTATCTTGCTTTATGTAACAAATAAATCTGAAGTGTTACACTATATGAAATACAGTTTGTTTACTTTTTGTTTGTTCCCCCCAAGGTCTGATCTGCCACTGTGCTCCCCGCACCTGGCCCGTGCCCAGCCTGTGCCGCGGAGCGGAGGGCTTGCTTATTGTACCAGTCATGCTTCTATAGGCTTTATGCACATTAATGCAATTAATACTCATGACAGCCTTCGGGCAGGTCCTGTTAATAATCCAATTTCTAGATGAGGACACGGAGGCACAGAGATGCTAAGTACTGTCACCAAGGCCAGAAATTGAACAGATCAGGGAGCTGGGACTCAAATATGTCTCAGGTACACAGGTGAATCAGTGTGGGTGGGCAGAGAGAAGAACATCCTCTGGACCAAGTCTGGCAGAGGTCCCTCTGCGCTTACCTTTTCTCATCCCACCAAAGGGGTCCTTGTTGGGCTCATAGGGCATCCTGCCCATCACATCTGGCATGCTGATGCCCTGCTGGTATGGGGCACTCGGAGTCATGGAGTTCCGTTTTGGGAACGAGGAGTCACTCGTGTCTGAGAATGGGTCGTGCACACTGACGGTACTGCTTCTGAGGAGATGAGAAAAATGAAAGTCACATGATACAGCAGGAGTTACCTCCAAACACTTATTCAGGAAATAAGCCAATCTAAAAATAGGCAAGTGGAAAAACTATCCAAAATAAAATACACGAATAAAACTAGTAGTAATCAACATTTAGAAACTTACTAGGGAATACCATTTCTTTATTCCATAAAGCTTGCTCCAGAAAATTAAGATAGACAAATCTGATTTTATATGGCTCACACAGGTCTTTTAACATACCTTCCACCTTGCATTGGGGTCATCTGTCCATGAGGGGTGGAGGCTGGAGTAGGTGGCTTCAGGTCACCTGGAACCTCTGCCATCGAATTACTGCCAGTTGATTGGGGGGTCTGTGGACCTTGCAAGGATCCTGAGTTAGCTGATAATAGTAAGTACCAAGAGAAAAATGGCGAAAAAAACCAGGGGTTATCAAAGTAAGGTCATCCTTGCTAGTTACAAAAAAAAGAAAACAAGACACCATCTTATTAGAAATAGTAACAATATCCATTGCTGGTAACGATGTAGTAAAATTAGTTGCTCTTACATTTTTTTATAGAGGTATAATGGACATATAACATACTAATTTCAGGTGTACGATGCAATAATTTGGCATTTGTATATACTGCAAAATGATCAACGTAAGTCCAGTTAACATTTGTCACCATACATAATTACAACTTTTGTTCTTGTGAGAACTACTCTTACATTGTTTATAGTGAAGATCAGAAGTATTTTAGTAAACTATTTGGAAACATACTTCATTTGTGAGCTGTAAAACATATTTATACCTTTTGACTGGGTAATTGCTTTCCTGGGTATTTAGCCCAAGAAAATAATCTAACACAAAGAAAGTTTTAGGCAGAACAATGTCTTTGTTTCAATGTTGTTTATAATGCCAATAATTTAAATGTCTGAGAATATGAAAAAATGGGACGGAAATTTTGGTACATCAATTTGATGAACTATTGTGCTGTTTTAGAAAAAAATTAGAAAAATTAGTTCTGGTCTTAAGCAATGAGCAGTGTTTAAGTTACAAAGCCGTGATACAAACTAATAATGAGCCTTATGTCATATTTCGATACCTTCTCAACATCTGGATGTGTCTATGCTCTGTCAGTAGTAGTGATTTTTGGAACTATGAAATCAGATTTGTTATTACAAACACAATACTCGTCTGGAGTTCTTTAATGTCATTATCAGAGCTTCTAAGCCTTGGCTTTAACAATAATTACATTATAATAATAGAGCTCAAATTGAGATCTTTTCAAAACTTAAGTGGGATTATTGAAAAACAATCAACCTCCCTTTATAGGAAAAACTGAAATATTTGAAGGGTTCCTGCTCTACCATTGATCACAGTCCTTAGCATGTTAGGTGTAATAGGTATTGGTTTCATTTATTAATTACTTGTTGAATAAATAATGTGCTTACTATATTGTAGGCTCTTTTCTGTGCCTGGATTCCACCAGAGGAATCCTTGCCTTCATGCAGCTTACAATAAATACTTTCAGAACCGTTACAAATGGCAGAATCCCTAGCTGCTTGTAAATAATAATATTGTGTTTGTTATTCCTTATAGTTCCTCTCCTACGACAGTGACCACCATCCACATTTTACTTTTGAGGAACCAGAGTTAAACTGATCACCAGAGATCAGAATGTGCTAGAAAGGAGTCAGAAACAGCAATGGGTCTATCACTTCTACCCAGAAAGCCTCAGATAGCTGAACTTGGCCATCTCTTGAGCGATCAGGCCTGCCCAGGCCTGGCCTGGCAGGAACGAGTGCCGATGGCTGGCCAGCGGGGCTGTGTGTCTGTATGACGTCTCCCCTGGTTGCACAGGACAAGCGTGACTCAGGCAAGTTCTCAGAAACACCAGCAAGACCTACTTTTAATGTGGGTATCTTTTCAGAGGTAGATATTAAGAACAAAACAAACAAACAAACAAAACCTTACTAACTCAGGCTTATAAAACCAAATTTTGGTGAAGGCCTAGGAATGCATACTAAAAAAGTAAATGTAATAAGACAAAAAAGTAGTCTTTTATAAATATATAAGGACAGTCCTACAGACAGGGCTGCCCCATAGAGCTGGCAGGGGAAATAACTGGCATCATGGCCTCTGAGCCAAGGGCCGGCCAGCACAGCAGCCTTGAAGGCTTCCCTGGAAACATGGCTCACAAGGCTGTGATTTCAGAATGACCCTTGTTTATAAGTATTCACATTTATAGCTCATAAAAAAAGAAAAAAAAATTCTTCCCTCTTGCCAGTGTTTCTTCCTTTCCTTTCAGGAAAAAAATGAATGCGACCTCTTAAAGCTCCATTAATAGAGAAGGCTGGCACTCTCTCTAGGATATCCCTACCTTTTGCCAGAAGCTACAAATGTATACTCGAAAGTAAACAATGGAAAGGTTATTGAAGGTTAAGTACATTCACACACTTCAGACTGTACAGCCAGACTCCTAGCTGGGAAGATAATTTACACAGCACGAACCTGGTGCCCTAGTTCTGGCTGGGGTTGTGGGAAGTAGGGTGGGGAGAAGGAAGAATAGCTGATCTGTCCCAGGTCTACAGTGACTAGAGGTCACCCAGAGGGCACCTTTGTTTATAACCCAAGCCCCTTTCTCATTTATCTTCCACTGAGGATTCCCTAGTTGGATCCATGACAGGTTTTGTGACATCACCTGTCAGCTAATAATAGAAGCGCAGTCAGCCACCTGCCAGCAAAGATGGATGGGTTTTTGGTTACAGACTTACTAATTGAATGTGGAGCTTCCTTACCCCTCCCTTCCCCCACTCTGGTTTACAGGCTGCCCAGGCCACCTGGGGAGGTGATTCCTGTGGCTGTTCATGAGAGCTCCATGGACTTGTAGAGTTTTATTACAAGGAGATCCCCACTGGCACCTGGAAGGTGCACCCGTACCCTGGCCTTGCTCAGGTTTCACTCGGGAGCCTTCTTCGCTGACTGTAGTTACCTGGATCTGTGTGTGAGAAACCAGATAGACAGTCTACAGTGAAGACCCTGACGCACCCCAAGGGGCTGAGGGTTCCCGCTCCCAGGGCCCACAGAACTGCACGTCAGATCCATAGGAGACAAATCAAAAGTGGGATACAGACGGGTGACTTAGAATGCTCTCAGAATACAGCCAGACCATCTAGGATTTAACTTGGTTCAGTGTGACCACTAACAAAAACAATCCAGAATGTTTCATAGGAATCTTTTAATTTAGTTTGCCTGAATGTGCTGGTAAGGAATAAACTACAATTATGTTCTTATGGGAAAAAATGACTTCAAAGAACACAAATTTTGGCTGAAAATTAGCTTTTAAAAATTTCATTGTTATGTGAGACCCTGAAATGGCAAATTGTTGGGAATCATTTTTTCCCCCTTCTTTGACAATAAAAATGTTTCAGACACAATTTCCTTAATGATAGTTCTGGAATTGGACAGGGCGCTGGCTCATGGGTGCTGGGAAACGCCTGGCTCTTGGATACGGGCAGATGTTACTCACTACCCCACCGACCCATCCTCGCGTCTGTCTCGCTGAGCAGTGTCTTGAGCAGTGCACAGAACACGTAAGACAAGTGGACCAGCCCCTGCTGCACGCTGGGCGATTCCACCGGGGCTGGGTGCTGACTGAACGGCTAAGCTTGGGAAGCTTTCCTCCACTGCTGCCCGCTTCCTAGGACTTCAGCTCCATTTGGGCCACGGAGAAAAATGGATTATCACAAGTGCACCTGCAATCCAAGCTCTTTTGTGCAGTTAAAACGATAATGCTGCCATAAAGACGGCAGTTTAAAAAGGAAAGAGCTGACTGTTAAGAGAACAGGCCTGTGCTTTCTGAGGGATCTATACCTCAGCGGGATTTCCTGTACTGAAGCTGACGCACACTGGGAGAGCTATTCTCTACACACAAGTGCAGGCCATTCAGTGACACGAGTTCTTTCCTGGCGAATAAAATATACCTTTAGATCTTTGCAGACGTCGCCACTTTGGTCCCCACACCCCACTGGGTTTTTATTTTGGAAAAATAGTTTCAGAGCTGTTCATAGGCAGCTTGTTGTACTCTGTGAATGTAATGTTGTGGGATTTTAAAAATTAGGTTTCACCAGTTTTTCAGGTACACCATAACTGGAAAAAGCTTCAGATATTTAAGGGTGGGGTTATAGAGAAAGATTTCTACTTGTACTTAGAAATGACAGGTCTAAATCTGGGTATATTCACGACTAATGCACGTCGGGCCTAAAAAGTACTTATGTGAGATCCCTTGACTAGCGACCTGAGGTGTCAGCACTGCCATCCACAGCAGCTAAATTAAAAAAGAGACAACTTCTTCCTTTGGCTCACAGATACCATCTTCTATGTGTAAACAGCTCACCTGTTACAGAGGTATTTCAAATACAGGCAGGTGAGTGTGCGGGTTTGGGCTAACTCTAGGCCCAATGGCCTGGAGCAAATCCAGCTATTCCGCTATCAGTGTGACTTTGGGCAGGTGACTTAGATCTTACGTGCCTTCGTTTTCTTATGGTTTTTAAAACAGTGTCTGCATGATGTGAAGAGAAAAGATAAAGCACTCAGAGAAGTGCCTGGCACTGGCAGTGCTCAGGGAGTACTGGCCATTAGCTGCATGGTTTTATCCCCCAGCCAGCCCGTGCAGGGGAAACGGCAGGTACCACCAGCCCGCCTGTGTGCAGGGCAGCATGGGCACGTGATGACCAGCACAGGACTCGGAAGGGGCCAGAAACAGACAAGCGAGTAGTCGAATTGAACATGAGTGAGGTCACCACCCAGCGCTAAGGATGATGCAAATCTCTTCCTATCTCTAGCCTTGTATTTATCAGAATGTAACGGTTTAGTCATTTCAAATGCGAAGCACTAACAGGTGGGAGAAAGGCTGGCAGGAGAGCTGGAGAAGGGCAGGGCCTCCAGCAGCTGAGGGGAGAGACAGGACAGGAAGCAGGTGTCAAAGGTGGTTTTGCTTTGAGAGTTTAGGGGACTCCCCGCCATCATTCCTAAGACTCCTGACCTCTGGGTCAAGGCTAATGGACAGCCCTGAATCAAAAGTAGGGCTGTGCAGACCTTTACCACGACAATGTGCTGAATTCCCTAAGAGTGAGAACTGGCTGGGCAGGGGACATTGAAAACTAAGTCCCAACTCCATTTTACTCGCACACAGATCTGAGCGTCCCCGACAGAGGCTGAGCCCGGGGAAGCTGCCTGTCAAACTGCAGCGTGGTGCTTTCCAGGAGCGCAAAAGAACTCACACAGCTTACTGAGGTGCTTATTTTGACAGATGGAATATTTCAAAATACCTTGGAATTCCAAAGTCTATTTTGACTAAATAAGATAAAGCCTTCTAAGTGCTGACCAGAAAGGGTAATATGTCAATTTTATTCTCTCTTCCCCTAAGCACTGCCAGACGGGGGGTGGTCCAAGTAAACAGACAGAACAAAGCACCCCTTCCTCTGGGAAACCCCGCCTTCTGCCTGCGTCGCTGTGGAGAGGCCTCTGCAGAGCCCCGCATGGCTGGTGCCGGGGCGCCGGCTGCAGTACTCGCACTCACCAGGAGATGGCGGCTGGAGCTTGGGCTGCTTCTTGGTCTCCCCGGTGCTGAAGACTTCCGGCGGGGGCTCCTCCCCGCGTTCGATCTTGCACTCGAAGGCAAACAGGTACTGGATGTACTGCTTTTTCAGGGAGCTGGCCGCGCTGCTCGACGTGCCAACGTTGAGGTTGGTTGCCAGCTCACGCCACTTCTTGTTTTTATTAACCTAGCGGGGGGAAAAAAAAAAAGGAAAAAAAGGGCAGGATCATTGGTTTGCAGCAAAGTGGCTTGTTTAAAGCCAGGAGACAAAAAAAGCACTTAATGTCTTGGTTTACTTTTTTTTTCATTTGCCTCTTTTAACTAATACTCATTACTCCCACTCAGTACTGCAAAGACAGCATTTACAGTTATAAAACCATTAAGGAACCTGCTGATAGCTACATAAAAGGCACTGCTCGTGGTCGAGATTCTTCTGCCTGGTGCGTCTTTTAATGCCTCGCACTCTTCCAGAGCTGGCGCTGATCATAGCTGGAGATTTATCTCAGGAAATGTACACTCTGGCTCACACTCTCCCCGTCCCACCTCTAATTAAAAAAAAAAAAAGGCGCCTAAAAACTAATTTAAAACGCAGTAACAGAACTATTTTGCAATTTAAATGTTTGAGTCTTGATATGAAAACCAGTGTTTCCTTCCGACTGCCACAAGCTCCCAGAACGACCAGCCTGTAATTCCGGTGTGTCCACCCTCTCACGTGAGGCTTCCTTGTGCTGTTCGGCACAGAGGCCACTCGGTGCGAAGGCTGACGAGGCCCCTGTCCACACGACCCCGACGTAAATGCCCAGCGCGCCATCACACCTGGACAGGCGCTGGCCAGCCACCAGCTGGCCCACACAGCAGGCATCTGGGGCTCGTCACGTGGCAGGAGCACACGGGACTATCCAGGGTTCCCACTGGTTCCCTGGTTCTCTCCAGGGACGGAGGGAATACAATTGCAATAAAGAGAAGAGAAAAACGAATCCTGAAATGTTATGTATGGATTTTAGGCATTATTTGAACCTTTTGATTCCCACTTGGGAACAGTTAGGAAAGGTTCAACTACATGAATGAAACATGAAGACCTGCAAATACTGGGGGATATTTTGCCTTTAGGTATGTCCTGTGCTCAACAGCATGGTAAGGGTTAAGGAGACAAGCGGTTTTTTATGAAATGTTCACTTTTTGGATTCAAACTTTCTCACAAAGCTCTTTATATCCATTTACTTAGTACTAAATGGTGCATGATAAGCAAACCACAGAATGTTCACGAAAAGGCTTAGTGCCACTTTTGGCGCTTAATGCCAACAAGCAGGCCATGGATTGCTTCCGATTAAGCAGAGCGCTGCCTGGGAAAAGTAGGGTTTGGAGCTCATCTGTGTGGTTGCAGCACCTGCTCCAGACACATCTGATGGTCACCAGGTAGATGGGTGTGAGTGACCAATGCCAAGTGTCCACTGTGAATGACAGCTACATTCAAGCATCGCTCATTAGCTACATCAGTAGAGACTCACTTGCAGGCCCAGCTTGGTAATGCACACGGCTGAGAGTCAGAGTAAGGTGTCCAGACAACCTTTACAATTCTGTCTGTGATAGGTGACACCCAATTGTTTAGTATCCTGGGGATTCTAAAAAAATCTATGTCAGGGTCCAGGTGCATAAGGGAAAGGTCAAGGGTCCAGGTGTAGAGGGCAGAGGTCAGGGGTCCAGGTGCATAAGGGAAAGGTCAAGGCTCCAGGTGCAGAGGGCAGGGGTCCAGGTGCAGAAGGGGAAGGTCAAAGGTCTAGGTGCAGAGGGCAGAGGTCAGGGACCCAGGCGCAGAGGGCAGGGGTCCA